TTGGCTCTTTATGAGACGCAATGCAAACACCACATGTCAGACTGCAAAATGTGCAGAAGCTTCCATTGGTTGCTCACTGCTGGACACTGCCTGATGTCCCGCATCGCCTGCCTCATGCGCACACTCAACTCCAACACTGTTTCGAGGTCTTTTTTGTAGCGCTTTTATGGGCATACGGATGTACGCCTTCTGTGCTTCCGCCTCCTTCTCCAGCTCAGCAACACAGGGAAGCCCTGCGACCGATCGCGAAGCAACAGCCATGACTTTCAGAACTTAAGCGGCTGAGCTGTGCCTGGTGCTTCACGAATCAGCTCCGAGTGCTCCTTCGAGGCTGGCAAGCGGCCTATGATCACCGCGGTATCACCACGCCTCCTTGGTGATTGGAGTCCAGGACGGCTCCACAGCTACAACAGCCTGTCTTGCACTTGCACGAGCTTTGGCTTCCGCGTGAGCGACCTAAACATGCTGTACACCCACTGCCCTACGCCACCCCGCTGCGGACCTCACAACGTTCGGCAACGAGAACGGAGTTGGAACCCTTGGCCTTGGACGGCGACATGCCATTCCGGTGCTACCGTTGGGCAACAACTTTGGCCTAGTGACACGTGCATTCGGCACTGGTTCTGCCTGCGCAGAAGCAATCCAAAGCTGCTGCGAATGCATTTTGGCTGAATGGGCAGCATGCGAGCATGCACCTCGACTAGTATGTGCGCAGACTCATCATCGCCCTGGCCAGGTTCAGTACAATAAGGTATTTTCACGAGCACTGTCGTCCGGTGCGGGTCCTCGAAGTGGTTGCTTGGCACAGTCTAGCTGTGGAGTTAGGGCAATACAGCTGACATTCCCCCCTATCTCGTCATATCTCGTCATGGGCGCATCCTGCCTCATATCCGAAAGCCTGTCTGCTCAACGTGCTGTCGCAGAAACATCTGCAGACATCCGGTGCTTATCCTGCATACTCCTTAAGGCACGCTCAAACAAGAAGCCGCCAAAGAAATGAGAAAACTCGCGGGTGTGAAACTGCCACTTCGATTAGTGAATCTCCTGTGCAGGAGCGCGTCTTTTCCATGTTCGAGCTGTGCCATGTGAGGGTTTCTGGTGAGTTTAGGCCCGAATGCGGTGGTTGTCCTTGTCGCTATTTTTGGCATCTTGACTCGGTCAGGGGTCACAACGTGTAACCTTCGGATAATGCGGCGCCCCGGTGCATCGGCAGTCGACCGGCGAGGGTTTCTGGGTTGAATCCCATGCAAGAGAAAACTCAGACATCCATGACTGGTCCATGACCCATGTGTTCGAACCATCCAGGAATTCTTGAGATCTGAGCTACGAAAGCTAGATCAAGGTCGGAACGGAATGTGAGCAGGGCGAGCTGGTCAACTTCTGCTATATGGTGAAGAAAAGAAGAAAAGGTCAGGTTTTCCGATCTGAACGACTCAACGACCGCGTCCGATCATAGACATGAAGACTGTCGCATCATGGCAAGCTCTAGGGCAGCAGAAAAAGCTTTCGGGAACATCGCGGAGACAGTGTGCTCTTTGGAGTTCTTGACAGATATCACACTGCCTGAGAAAATCTCCGAAGGCCGGCGACAGCAGAGAGGCGAGGCTCGCACGTGCGCAAGTGCTCGAGTTAAGAAGAAGTCTTCTGATTTTCTGAAATGCGCTGTTTCGTTATCAAGAGTATTGCATCTCAATGTCCTTAGAGTCTTAGAGCCTTAGAAGCAATTTGCAATGCCTATTCCCTAGAACAAGCCCTCCGTCTCATGCCAGCTATCTGCAGCGACAAGATGAAGTATATGAAACCTTCGAAGTTATGACATCACCTCTCATCCTGCAGTCTGGTCATCCAGGGCTTCTTGGAAGCAAGGCTTTGTTGGCTGTCTTGGGGATCGTATCTGGTGGTTGAGTTGTCTTGCACTAGAACCTTCTCAAGCCGTTGTTCGGTGCAGCTGCCGAGGAGAAACGTGTCCGTTGCAAGGGCTTCGAGATGCCGCATGTGCCCGCGGCCTTCAGCCGCTTCTCGAGAACCGTCCGGCAGCGCTGGCTTTCCTAAACCGAAACAATCAAAGCACTCTGTAGTTGAGGATCTCACGTGGACCCCCCGACCATGCCTGGAGCTCCTTCTGCAACTTCTCAACCTCACAGGCAGCAAGAAGATCCTGCTCTTAGCACGGAATCTTCCGACCAGGAGGTTGCTTGTGTCAATTGTCGATGTCACACGGAAGAGCCTCGGCCTGGTCCCAAATTACAGAGTTCCTCGCCTCCAGCTGCGAGCGCTCCAAGTCCTTTGCGAGGGAGGCGCTCGCACCACAGCCTGGGAATGCTAAGCGCCGCAAGTTCAACAACTGAGCTGCCACTTGCCGGAATTTTGCAGGGATGGTATCGCTTCGTGCAGGCTGTTTCAAGCTGTGCCTCAAAAAACCAACCCGCTCATCACCCCTGGTCTGCCACAGTGACCCTGCCGCGATTCACCTGCACCTCCTTTAGCCGCGAGAAGCATGAGCATCCTTGTCAGGCTTTTGAAACTTTACTTACCTAATGTGACCATCCAACAGGCATGGCTCGAATCGAAGCTGCTCTTCCGCAAGTGAAATTGGGTCGGTGTGATGTCTACTGGGGTCTTGGCCCATCACAGCGGCATCCAGGGCTGTGCTGGCGGGCTAGACCTGCTGGTGCTCTTGAGGTGTCTATCACTCCCACGATCCATGTCCAAACCGCGGGGGCCTCCATTGCGTAAACTACAACTTGCTGGCCACCATGATCGACTCGCTTAATGGAGAATGCACCATTGACCTACTGCTAGTGCACGACAGCCCATGCAGCCAACATGCAGTAGATTGCACGTGAGCAAGTCTGCGAAAACAAGCCGCCAAATCCGCCTAGTGAAAAGGTTGCACGGCTGACAGAGAAACATAGAAGCTGCAGGATCGACCGTGTTGAAAACATCCGCAGAAATGCCAGGAAGGCAACATGCTTTGTGGCGCTTCAGCTGGCAAATTGCTCTACAAGTGAAAGCTACAGTGAATGACTCGAAAGTGTGAAAAGTCAAGAATGCGGAAACGGCCAGTCTTCTCCCCGCATACTTCAGAAGTCGCCGCATCACCCGCGACCCCGCTCGACCAGGTGTTGCTATGAACTTGTTGCACAGGTCTGCAGCAACCTTCAGGTTTAATTCCATCAGTTCTATTTATTAAGGTTCTGTTTCTCGATGTGCACTGCAAGTGTTAGTGACCTCGTCGCTGCAGCCCTTGTCAACGCTGTCCCTGTACAACCGAATCATCAGGTGAACAGCACCTTCAAGTTAAAGCCAATTTGCCTACTAGCAGCTGCTGTACACGGAGGACTGCACACATATGGCAAAGTTACTAGAGCCTCCTCAGCGCAGCAGTGTGGAGCACTTGCTCAACGGCTTTCCTGCACATTCAGATCGCAACACAGCCGGAAATGCCAATGGCGATGTGCACCGCACATGCCTTGCTCAGCAGTGTTGTAAAGTACGTGGCTACAAATTACTGCAAGCTCGATGTCCAGCTAAACCACAGCCGTGCTAGCAGGGATATCAACGTGTTGAAGAAGACAGGGCAAAACGTGTTCAGCACCATGAAAAGCACCCGTAAAGGTGACCCAAGGGCGGTGTTATTCCACATCTCAAATATGCAGGTCGTTTATCGTAAGTTTACGCGGTCTTAACATAACATGCTTCTTTCTTGATTCCAAGCTCCTAACGCCCCGTTCATCTCATCTGTTGGAGACCGCCAAACAAGTGCTGCTTGACTCCAATCTTCCGTGTTCGCATCTGTTTGGACGCGGCGGTCCTGCTCAGCAAGATGTCTTGCTGCGCCGAAGTTGGACACGAGCGCCGTCTCCGAGTGCTGCCTGAATTGCCAACGAGACGAAAGCAAGACCCTACTTGTTCCATCTTCACTCCAGCCACACCATGACTGTAGACGAACATGGAAAGTGCCGGGTGCAGCGAGCGGCGTCAGTAACCTAATCCCTCTGCTCGACACTTAACGTAAGAACTCCATTGTCTTGCTAATCTGTTTTAAAGTTTTTGGAAGACTGACACGAAAGTTCGTTGTTTTTCCTAAATTTGTCAGTTACCTCAGAAACGGTGCATGGAAAACACAAATGGCTTGCAGATTTCAGAAAGCACAAGCATGCAGCCAATTTAAAATATCATGAACACGTAGTATTGCAAGAGATCTATGACGCTAGAGTTTCGAACCGCTTTTAAACAGGGTCGGGACCTCTAGCTGTTTTTCTCTCATGGCTCGGGAATATCCTGTGAATACCAAAAAAAGAGGCAGGCTGGCTTTGGCTTTGGCACCTGCACTTGCCTGACGTCCACCCGGCCCATTCGCTGTGGAGGCTGGCTCGGGCCCGGCAAGCCCGTATCAAAAGGAATCTCGTTGCGGCCCGAAGTGAGGGCCGCCGTTAGCAGCTTGGCCGTAAGCCTGTTGCTCTGCTGCATCATCACACTTGTTTGCCGCAATTGCTACTGCAGCTGTTGCTTCCGAATGAAGGGCAGGTCTGCACTATGCTGTCAGCCTCGCCGATCCGGATTCCTCATCCTTTCTCCTCATAGCCTCTCCGATTGATCCCTTCGGCAAGGGGTGACGCCAGTCTTTGGATAGGCCGACGCGGCAAAAAGGTCGCCTTGTCCCAATTAGACCTAGGCGATCGAGAGGGCCTCGTTGAGCTCTCCGACTCGCTTCCTGGCGTTCTGTACTGGCGGTGCAAGGCGGTGCACCATACCTCAGCCTCAACCGACCTCAAGTCCCGGCTTCGTTGCACTTCTCGCGGCACCGAAGATCCACCCCAAGATTCGCAGTCCTCCTTCGGCGCCGCCCTGTTTCCCGGGAGTGTATGCAAGCACTACCCTCCTTGTTGGTGTTTGTTGAACTCGGCCCCCCGAACACGACTATGCCCACAAACACCTGCGTGGCAACCCCCGTCCTCTACCTGCTTCCACTACCATGCAAGGGTTTAGGATAACAATCAAACAGGAATCATCGGAGTTGCCGACTCCAAATCAAACGATGATCCGACGACCCCAACTGGACAACAGACTGTCTGGAGACTTTCACTGCGCATCAGTGTGCAATACTTTTTTCGTGGAGAGTGTGAGTGTCCCTGTCTGTCTGCGTGTGTGTCTGTCTGGAGCATGCGTAAACATGGCAAAGCAAAGAATCTTTGCGCAAAGGGGCCCGAACAGCAGCAACCTGTAACATGCCCAAACACATCGGCAATTGATCTGGACGGGCGTGCCCCGGTTTTCCCACACATCAGCTCCTTGCAAGCTCACACAACAAGAACCTGGAGTGGCTATAACATGCTGGCCAGTCCTGCTTCTTGAGGCAGAGAATTTCTTGCCAGTATTCGTCTGCTCGCTGCCGGTTTCGCATTGCCTGGTACTCACCGATGCACCGATATCACCCTTTAGCACCGGAAGCACAAGTCGAGAAGGCACCTCTTCTCGGCATCGCCTGGCTTCATCTTGCAAAGCCTGCTCAAGAGAGATTGGGGTTGGCAGCGAGAGGCACCAGCTGATTTCGAAGATCTGAAAAGACAGGTTGCTTGAAAGTGCTGGAATTGCAGCATGTATGGCCATGAGATGAAGCAACAGTCTCGCTCTGCGAAGCCACGATACTGCTTGAAACCTCATCATGCTACGTCGCCCCTCCCGGTCTCACCAGCATGCATGTCAGGAGAGGCTTCCTGTCGGGCAGACCCCGGAATGCCTGGACCTGCACGGGATCCGGATGCGAGAAATCAGCATCTTCCTGCAGCTTCTGCAGTACTGCCTGCAGAAGCGACGAACAACCGTCTCAGAAGCTTCAGCTGCAAACGGCGAACCACGGTGGAACAACTGAACCGCGCTTTAATCCCAGGCGTGTTCGACCTGGGAACACGGCAAGGGGGTTCCACGCGCCCCGCCTCGCATGTTGGTCTGAGCTCCTTCCGAGGCTGAACCTGGCGAATCATAGTCCCAGAGTAGACGAAGCAGAGTGAGACCTTCACCCATGTGGCATGAAAACACATACCACGTACTTGTTACTGGGCCCTCAAATGCTCGACATGCTTGCTGCTTGCTGTCATGACATTGGATCATGTAGAATCACATGTTCATGGAACTCTTCAGTGCACAACAGCCGACCGTACTCAACCATCCTGGTTCACATGGGCGCGTTCAGCGAGTTGCTAGAGTCCCTCCTGACTCTGGGTGCAGGGCCAAGTCTTGCATGAGCTGGAGCAGCTTGGGCGAGAGCTCTGGCAGCCGAGCCACCTCTTCAAACCGCTGTGGGATGTGCTCCATGCGATTAGCGGCTCTGAGCGACTCCACCTCGAGGGAACGACGGAGGCTGTGCCACTCTGGGCCTGCACAGGCTGGAAGCGGCCAAATGGTTTGTAACCATTTCCTTACAATGTCCTACAACCTGGTAAATTTGTGAAAGCTTTTTCTAATGATATCTGATGATAGCTCAGCTGAGAAACACTCCTCATGCTGCTAGCAAAGACGGAAATGAGCAGCAATACTAGCGCAAATGAAGATATCCATGAAGCCACACATGTGCTTGGATGTCTGTAGGCACAAATCAACGACATATCAACGACTGACATCGCCGGCTATCAAGTCAGCGCTACGCAAACAGTATCGTCATGTCAACGAGCCATGTCATGTACCACTAGCCGTGCAAATGCATCTAAAAACATCTGCTTGCCAGCGTCTCAACCGGTCAGAATGGCTCTTTGAATCGTCTCATGCGTCCGTAAATATGCGGATGCATTGACGCAGACAAAAAGAAATTGACATTATGAGAGGGTTAGGTTAGTACATGACATATCCGTGTATCAATACATGTTACGCGATTGGTCAGTCTTCGCCTTGACCGCTGCAGTCTTGATTCATACACCATCATCTACGAGTCGCTATTATCCAGCAGTGCGAGCGCCCAACGTGCAAATTACCTTGGCACTTGGAGCATCTTGGAGCCGCATTGTATCTGCGAGCGAAGCGAATGGAGAACGAGATGGTGCATCATGTCAAGCCTTGTCAAGCTGTTGCAGTTACCTCCTGCCTTACCTCGACAGAGCTAGAAGCGGTGAGCCACAGCAAATTTGCTATACTAAGCTAAGTCGGGATGAAGTGCTCCGATCGACTGTGGCTGTGAGTCCAGTTTATGTGTCCATGCGGATTTAGACTCAAGATCTAGAAGAAGTAACTTGTATTTCCAACTTCCTGTCTGTTCCAAGCATATGACCGGTCTCGGACGGTGAGTACAAATCAAAACCAGACACTGTCTGAGATGGTGGGTCGCAGATGTGACATCGCCGTTTCCAAAATGTGGGTGGTCTTGTCTTCTTCCATGTCTCGGCGAAATGCTCCAATAGACAATGGCCATCTTTATCTTACAGTAGTGCCCGCTTCATATTTTCAGCAGTCTGTTGTTGAGTTTCGGGTCCCTCGTCGCAACAACCTGCACGTACCAACTCCGAAGACAATGATCGCCGGGCGGCCGTTGCTTGGAAGACCGTTCGGGTTGGTACCAAGTTCATACAGGACCTTGGCACCACGGCAGTATTTTTGAACAACTCGGGGTTAACATCAGCAGGCTCGATACGCTAAGCCTAATTGGCCCTGATGCACAACTAGGCGGATGGTCTCAGCTGTTGTCAATACTCCCAGTTAACTTCCCGCCATGCACAAACCCCGAGTCCAGTGTCAATGTGAAATCCCGTATTTTGCTGAGATGGCAGCAAGGCCCAGGGAAAATACATCTGCTTTAGGAAGATCTGCAAAGTCGCCTACACGGCACAGCAAAGAGGAGACTTCAAACATGATGGACCGATCTGGTGCGAGCCTTGCAATACCTCTTTAGCAAGATAGCGGCAATCTCCTTCGGTGATATCATCGCACCTTGCGCCTTGTGGGAAATGGCATGCGGAACCTGGGATCACTGCAGGCGTGCTGTTTGGCCTATGGCAGCTGCTGCCAATCCGAGGTCTGCGATTTTGAAATAACCTGCTGTCCAGGGCTGTCCCGGTCGCTGCCACTTGTTGACGCTGCAAGGACTGGGCAACACCTGGCTCTCCCCGACTGAGAAGGATGTTGTCCGGCTTGATGTCCAAATGCACGATGCTCAGGCCGTGCCTTAGCAAAGATGACTGTGCATCATCTGAAACTCTTGCACCTCTTGGGATGAGACAGCTTCTTCAGCCCACCTAGCGGCGTGCAGATGATTGCAGGCTTCGGAGAAACTTCGACGTGACTTCCGACCATGCAGATGCGCTGCAGATGCTCCGCTTAAGCTGGCCAGGCTCACTGGCCACGTGCTGCAAAACCTGCGGAGGGTACTCGAAACGGAACGTCCGCAGGTATCCAAAAGCGGCCTCAATCAGCTCACCTTCCTGAAAGCGCGGATCTGAGTCCTGAGAGCCGAGGGACTTGTCTGCAAAGCCTGCAACGTCTGCCGCTGATGGGTTCCAGCTGGGATTCGCCGGTCGTGCGATACTTCCGTGTCCCAGCTCTTCTGCGAAGGCTGCCCGCGCGGCGCACTCAATTTGGGGGCGAGTCTGCAATGCTCAGCCGTTCCGAAATTTCAATTTGAGCCTGCAAGGCTTGGGGCAGATTCTGGCTTGCATCTGGGGCATATGGTTCAACCTCGGCCACATTGATATGTCGTTCGAGGCATTGAGAAGGACCCACTGCCGTTCAGGCACATTGCTGGTTTGGCTTATAGAGCATTTTCGGGCTAGGGGTTTCAGGTCTCATCACAGAGCACGTCTTAAGCCGACGGAACGAGAACTCGCTTGACGCCCCTCTCGGACCTGGTGCCGACGAGGCTTGTTGCAAGAGCCCATGCAAGCTCCGGCCAATCAGGCATCTCAGTCTGTGAGCAAGTCTGGGAACACTGATTTACGATGTGCTTGACTTTTCCTTGAATTAGATTTCAAGCTGTCCTGCTGGTGCTCCAACAACTTGTCACGCAAGGAGCAGCGACATCTGCAAGCGAAAAGGCGCAGCGCTTTCACATAGCACGGTCTGTGAAGCATTCGATCCGTGGCCCGGACAGCTCGGTTTGGATGTGCAACCGGCTATCCTGCAATCTTACAGTGTGAAAAGCTTACACCTCTTCGGTTGGCTCCACGACCCAACCTCCACCCAAGAGGAGTAGTAGCGAACGATGTAGGGACAGGCTGCCGCCTTGCACGCCGGATCTTTCGGGTGGGTCTGCCGAAAGCAGAGAGAGGGTGGGGAGAGAGCGGAAACATAAACAGTACAAGACAACAAGGGAGACACTGACTTGGGCTTACCGATATATTCCGGTCAGTTTGGCCAACCAAGCGAACGGTTTTGTGAACCAGGGCAGGCTTTTCAAAGCCCATCCTAAAGATCTTGTGCAAACATCGTTCTCAGAATGATGCTCACCTGCCTCCATGGACACGCTTGCCAATGCCAAAGCCTCCTTTAGTTGACTTTCGCGGAGACCTTGTCAACCAGCAAGCTTATCTTCCGAGTGAAAATTTCGTCAAACATGCCAAAAATAAACACACATGACCCCACCAAAAGGCAACTAGGACATGTTCTTTTCCGTAAATTCTTGTTTGCATTGTTTCTTCCGTGCTACTCCTTCATACATGGCGGGCTTGGAATTCGCACGGTCCTGTGTGGCGGCAAGCTCTTGGGGAGGAGTTGCACATATTGGGGAATTCCATGTTGTGTCGAATTTACGAAGTCTTGTTTCTCATCAATCTGGATTGGTGTCGGAATTTGTGCGCTTTGTGCGGCGGAAAGCATTGGAGGGTCTTGCTTCTCGTCACGTTTTGTGTAATTTGGAATTTGTACGCCATGATAGTCGGCGAACTATCGGAGAATTCAGATTTGTAAGGTCGTTTGTTGGGAAGGTGTCGGGGGAATGCCCGTTTCGTAAATTCTATGTGGCGGCACGCCATCAAGGACATTCGAACTTGTACGATGCTGTGGCGCTGCAAGCTATCGTCGAATTCGAATTCGACATTCTCGTGCCCTCAAGCACACCTCAAGATGAAACTTCCTGATGTCTTCCATCCATCGTTGCTGCCTCCGTGTTTCTGCCGTAAGGACATGTTGTTGATTGTTGAATACATTTTGATTCTTTGGGGTTGTCAAATTTTTGCCATGACCGACTGGTATTGGCTGCTCCGTTTTTGTGGGTTGTTTTGCGTCTGTGGGTATTTTATTGTCTTATTACTTTTTGGGGGGTCGTCGAGCGCCTGCCCAGTCACCCGCCAGCCAAGCCCCTGGAACGCCGGTAATCGGGGCACAAATTTTTGTCATACACGTGGAACCGCCAGTATAATTAAATCCAGGGGACAAAAAGTTCAAGAACTGCACAAACATCAATCTTATGTGGTACAGCAAGCTATTGGTAACATAATTTATGCCGTTGTGCTTGCAGCAGCTCCGGTGCTGCTTTTTGCCTCAAGCTATTGGGGAATTATAATTTTCCAGGCCCGTGTTTTGCGTGATGCTGTTGGGGGCTCACAAATTGTAGGGCCCCGCTTTGCCTCGAGCTAGTGGGGAATGCCGATTTGCAGGGTGTTGCTTTGCATCAAGCTAATAATTAGTTACAACTTCCAGGCTCCTCAAGCTATTGGGGATTACAGTTTGTGGGGTTCTGTTTTGCGGCAAGCTGTTGGGGAATTACGAATTGTAAGGTCCTGCGTTGCAGCAAGCTAGTGAGGAACTCCACTTTGTGAAGGTTCCGCTTTGCATCAAGCACCTGGGGGAATCCCGATTTGCAGGGTCCTGTTTTGCATCACTTCATGTGGCGATTCCGGTTCATCATATATCTTAAACACGCCCCCTTCATGTGGCAATTCCGGTTCGTTATATATCTTATACACGCTGGCTCCACGTGGCGACTCCGAATTATCATATCTTAAAACACCCTGATTTCGCGATTCCGTTTCATCATACATCTTACACACGCCCCCTCATTTGGTGATGCCGGCTCATCAAATGCCTTAAACACACCCGCTCATGTAGCGATTCCGTTTCAAAACATATCTTAAACACGCCCCCCTCATTTGGCGCTGCCGGTTCATCCTATATCTTAAACACGCCACCTCATTTGGCGATTCTGGTTCATCATACATCTTAAACACGCGTCCTCAATTGGCGATTCCGGTTCATCATGTCGTAAACACACCCCCTCATTTGGCGAGTCCGGTTCCTCACAAATTTTAAACATGGCCACCTCATGTGGCGATTTCTGTTCATCATACATCTTCAATACGCCCACCTCACTTGGCGAATCCGATTCATCATGTATATTGAACACACCCCTTATTTGGCACCATTTATGTATATTTTAAACACGCCCCCTCATTTAACGATTCGGTCTCACAATATATCTTAAACACGCCCCCTCATTTGGCAATTCCGGTTCATCATATATCTTAAACACGGCCCCCTCATTTGGTGATTCCGATGCACTGTATCTTAGACACGCCCCCTCATTTGGCGCTTCCGGTTCATCATATATCTTGGACACATTATACTGAAAAAATAGATTCACTATCATACATTGATTCATTGTGACAATATAGTGATTACATTGTAACTGTGGTGTAGGTATCTTTAAGATACATACGTAGATATGCGTACACATTCTTTCAAACAGGTTCGCAAAGCTACAAAAAGAACGGGGGAGGTTGGGCCACCAAATTTGCAAACACAACACGCATGATTGGGCTCGTCGGCTCATTGAAAGGCTGCATGAAGGAATGTCCATTGATAGCAGGCCATTGTTTGAAGCAACTTATTCTTGGACTGATACTATCTTCTATTATATTACATTGTATTGTACATTATGCTAAATATTGAAGTAAACTTCATTATGATTGATTCTCTGTATTATGTTGGCAATACAAAACTTGCATTGCATCTGTGCATTAAATACCTATAACATACATACATAAGTATATATTACATGCACACAGACATGCATACATACAATACACAAGTACTTGTATGCTATACTAACATACCTCTCGCTATCTACATATATGTGCGTGTATATATGTATGCATATTTACCATCTGGGTAATCACATATATATGTATATGTATACACGTATAAATTCGTCATTTATCTCGGTCTTTGCGTCTTTTCATTTTCTATTTGATGTTGTTCTATCGATCTCTCTCTTTATTTGCGTGTATGTGTCTATGTACACACATGTTTCGTCTATGTATGTATATGTGTGTGTGTGTATACATACATATACGTATACATATGTGTATATATATAATATTAATATACATACATACACACAAATACATACAT